AGAGGAAGGTCCCCAATATCCGTCAAAATGAGATCTAGACAATGTGCACCGCAAGGAGACCAAAACAACTTTTTCCTCTTTGCCATTAACAACTCCCCAGCTTTTACATAAGCCGATGCACTATCAGTTACAACCTGAACAACATTATCCTCACCAATCTCTTCTACCATTGAATCTAAAAGCTCAAAAAGATTATCCGCATTCTTACAAATACCTGAAGTATCAATACTTTTAAGAAACACACTTCCTCTAGGACTATTCACTAAAAAATTAGTGATAGAGCGATGTTTCCCATCAGTCCATCCATCAGACATAAGAGTACAACCCGTCCTTCTCCACTCTGCTTTATAATTTTCCATCAACCCACCATTAATCAAATTTGTTTCTTTTTTCAAAAAAGAACATCTCACCTCATGATACGATGGAGGTTTCAATCCCTTACCAAACGATGCAACAGATTCTAACATTCTTACAAAATATGGATCCTTTACCAAATTAAAAGGAAGGGCATTAGCATAAAAACATCTACAAATATCCAAGCATACATCTTCCCTACCCTTTTTCTTCAACATAGTATTCAAAGTAATTGTGGTGGTTGGCTGTATTTTATCAGCAGTAGTACTACCCACACTGCCACTACTTTTCGAATCCACAAGACTCATATCTTTGCTAATTGCCCTATCATCCAATAATTGCTTAAAAAATTCAGTTACTTCCTCAGGGCAATGCTTACACGCTGCTACATCTTTGCGATTACTTGCCAAATGATTTTTCATTCTTGAAATGCCTCCCCAATAGACATTTGCACAATGAATGCATTTCAATTTCAACCTTGATCCTTCTACTTTGTCACAATGTTCCCATGTGGGATCATTAGCAAGTTTTTTAGTCATTTCTATATGAAAATTGGATGCAGGTGATGCCACTGTTGCACAAAATTAAAATTAATCAAGATTCAGAAATTTTTATACAAAAAAATTTATATACATTTGGCTTTGTAAATAAATTAATATCATTACATACTGCACAGGACCAACGATCAATGGAGACTGGGAAGAAGAAGAAGAAGAAGAAGAAAAAGAAGGAGTACCTGGAGAAGGAAGAAGGCAGCGATCAACACCCACAGTCGGAGACAAGCAATCACCCACAGACGAAGACCGGCAATCACCCACAGTTGGAGACCACCCACAATCGATCACCACCCAGACTCGAAGACCACCCACAGTCGAAGACCACCCACACAGTCGAAGACCACCCACACAGTCGAACACAGTCGAAGACCACCCACACAGTCGAAGACCACCCACAGCGATCACCACCTACAACGTTCACCACCCACAGTCGATCATCACCCACCCACAGTCGATGGCTGAAGAGAAACCACAGACGTCGTCGAAAGACCACCCACACAGTCGAAGACCACCCACAGCGATCACCACCTACAACAACGTTCACCACCCACAGTCGATCATCACCCACCCACAGACGTCGGTCGATGGCTGAAGAGAAACCACAGACGTCATCGATAGAGACGTCGTCGAATATGTGAGAAATCTCTGATTTTTATTTTTGTAACCCTAACCACTGAAACGACGTCGTTTCAGTGGTTATAGGGAATTAAAAAATAATAATTCAGAGCACAAAACGACGTCGTTTTAAAAAAAAAAAAAAANTTTTTATGTTTTCATCTGTGTCCGAATTAAAAGGGTACCTAACCAACTCTGTTGAGGCCAGTTAATAATGGACTCCTCCCTCTTTGTCCTAAGTTTTAACGAATAACTCTTTATGAATAAAACATAGAGGCTCTGTACCTAATACAAATTGGATTCTAATCCGTACATATCCTTTTGTGCAATGATATGTATGGTATATGTGTCCATATAGGCATAAACACACACACTCACACATCCACAACTCCTCCGTCAGAAAAAGTAAAAGAATTTATGAAAGAACTATGGGAGGAGGGAGAGAAAGAGTTGGAGATAGACGGAGGGAGAGAGTAGAGGAAAAAATAGTAAAAAAAATTTAGAGAGATTATTAGAAGTCTTTATTTTTAGATTTTTTAAAAAGACAGTTATTTTTTAGAACTTTGTATAAAACTTTACATAGACTTGTAAAAAATTGTTATATTTTAAGCNTAAGGTTTTCTACAAAATTTTAGATAGATTTATAAAATATATTGAACCTTTGAACTTGATCCATTTAAAAGGGCATCAGCAAAATGAAATTGAACTAAAGGTTGANGGTTTTCTACAAAATTTTAGATAGATTTATAAAATATATTGAACCGTTGAACTTGATCCATTTAAAAGGGCATCAGCAAAATGAAATTGAACTAAAGGTTGAAAATTAAATTGGGACCCAATAAATTTAGAGCTCTAAGTGACTATTATAATGGTCAGGCTTAGGGCCGGTCTCAGTGTGTCTGTACATCTCACAACAATTATAGTTTCTACTCATCTCTTACTGTCAAGTTTTTATTTATGGAACCAATTAAGTGAGACAAATTAATTACTGAATGACACGCAAAGATTAAAGGGTATGAAGCACGGATACTTCGTTGAGGTTAACGTGCATGTATCGGATATTCGAGGAAACGTATCGGATACACCTTTTACGTATCCAATAATAATTAAATATTAGAATACTTCACAAATATTTTTGTGGTCGGCTTAATATATAATTTTTGAGTTGAACTTTTAACATCTATTTTCGAATTCAGATATCATACTACATTAACAAAAAATTCGTATTACTTCAAAAGCANAGCGTGCATGTATCGGATATTCGAGGAAACGTATAGATACACCTTTTACGTATCCAATAATAATTAAATATTAGAATACTTCACAAATATTTTTGTGGTCGGCTTAATATATAATTTTTGAGTTGAACTTTTAACATCTATTTTCGAATTCAGATATCATACTACATTAACAAAAAATTCGTATTACTTCAAAAACACATGAGTGTTTCTTAAGTAATATCTACAATTACATGTCAAAAAGAGCATAAAACAAAGTTATTACATTATAATCTTAGCAAAAATTACTTTTAAATCTTAGATAAATATTAGTTTTGATTCATTNTCTATTTTCGAATTCAGATATCATACTACATTAACAAAAAATTCGTATTACTTCAAAAGCACATGAGTGTTTCTTAAGTAATATCTACAATTACATGTCAAAAAGAGCATAAAACAAAGTTATTACATTATAATCTTAGCAAAAATTACTTTTAAATCTTAGATAAATATTAGTTTTGATTCATTTAATTAGTTACTTCACTTTGTAAATATACCACAACGATAAGATATATATTTTCTTGAAACTAAAAAGAATTACTAATTTTTTTTATTATATGTTAAAGAACTACCAAAATATATAAGTATTAAGTTTGTTGAAAATAATAAAAATATTTTATTATAGTTGTATCTTGACCGTACTCGTATTCTACTTTTTAAAATTTTGTCATATCTTCGTATCCGTATTCGTATTATATCGTATCTATATCCCGTATCCATATCCATGTTTCATAGATTAAAGGTAATATATGTGTTATTCTACATTTTATGTATTTTTTTAATTTATCAAAAATAATGTGTAGACCTTTAGAAAGTATTGTCATAATAAAGATGTTAAATGTTACAACGTGGTGTCACATAATTTTTTTATTTTTTTTTTAAATTTAGGCATTTAATATCTGTTAAACATTACTTATTTGTTATTTCGTACTCATTCTATTTGTGTACAACTGTTTAATAATATAATTCATATGAATTGTAAATATACATAAATCATCATGACCAAATATACTTTTTTAAGCAAACAAATCCGTACATCTATTTGTCTCTCTCATCTCTTGTTTGACCTGCACTTTTCGAAATACAATCTATTTTTTCATTACTACTTTTATGTTCTTATTTATTTCGCATGTTCTTCATGAAAATTGTGCTATTATATTATCAACTATTAATATACATTCATAATTCTCTTGTTATTAAGTTATTTTACTATTTGAATTTTTTTTTTATGATCCTTAACTTATTTATGTACGCAGCAACGTTCATGTACTATTTTGTTGTGTTTTATTTTCAATGATAACAACTTCATTGAATTTTTTTTTATATTAATTAGTTTTTGTTGTGAATCCTTTATGAGAACAAATAATTTAATTAATTTGTGTTTTTGTATTTAAATGAGAACAAAATCGAGTTTGAGAGAAATATAAAATGTGTTTGATTAATTTTTATTTGTAGAAATGAGAGAGAGAGACATATTATATTTTTTTATCGAAGTGTTAACCCCTTTTTTTATTCTTTAATAAATGTGTATGTGAGAGATGAATTGCACTTTTACACCTAAATTTTAAATTTTATTTTGTAGACTTAATTGTAAGCTAAATTATAAAAGATTTATACTTTATTATTGAACTCTAAAATTTAAGGGTTTTTTTATATGTGGAGCCTAAAGCCCATACTAGCGAAATATTTTGATTATTTTTTAAATAGAGCAATGTTACGTCGATGATCTCATTTAGGGATCTAATGATGTGGTTTCAATACAACTATTGGATTAATTGTGAGTTATAATGTTAAATGGAGCCCACAATCAATTCAATAATTGTATATCATTTAGTCCCTAAATAAGGTGTCCAAATAAAGTCGAAATAGCATTTTCTATTTTAAATATAATTATTTATCTATGAATGACTTCATCTGTGTCCGAGTGGGTACCCTACAGATTTGGGACTTTAACCAACTTTGTTGAGGCCAGGTCAGCAATGAACTACTCCCTCTTTGTCCTAAATTTTAGCAAAGTCAGTTAACGAACAACTCTTTATGAAACTTAACATGGAGGCTATTTGCCTAATACAAATTGAATTGTAATTCATGCATGTCCTTTTTGTGCAATGATATGTATCATATATGTGTCTATATAGGCATAAAACACAAACAGGCACACATCCAAAACTCCTCAATTTTTGAGAAAATTTCTATGGCCATGGCCAACTGCACAGACATTGAAGATGGGAGGAGGAATACCCAAAAAGAAGAGACTCAAACTAGAGGCTGGAATAAATTAAATCATGATATTCTCGTAAAAATATTTCGAAAATTAAGGGATGAACACTTGCTTGTTGATGTATCGATGGTTTGTTGTTCTTGGGAAATTGCTTGTTGGGATGTCTTGTTCTGGGAGGGTGATTGCCATCAACTGGAATTAGGATTGGGTTATAAGAAAAGGTTAGGACGTCCCATGGACTACTCGGAGATGGAGATCAGAGGGATGAGGTTGGTGAAAAATATAATGGAAGGTGATAAAGCTTATGCCACACCTATGAATAGTTGGGCTCATTCTCTTCTCTGCCTTCTCTTAGATAATGATTTTCCTGTTTCAGACAGAATTCTTCTTTACATTGCAGAGAGGTATGCTGTTTATTCTTCTCCCCCTTTCATATTTTCAGGAGTCTACATATAAATGGGTATGTGTGTGTGTCATTATATCGTCTGGTTGTTTTGTGCTTTTTTTCATCTTAAGATCTTTTCAATGACCTATGTTATGTTGAAGGGATATCTATATGATCTGATCGATTGCATAAAGCCCACAGGCCACGGGCATGGAGACCCATAAGGAACCCCCTCCTGCCAGATCAACAAAAGTTGATATCAGAACTTGTGGTTGGTCTTTGTTTTTTTTGAATCTATCCACTTCCTCCTATTTCTCTCAGGCTTTAGAATCCTCCATCTTCCTAGGGAAAAATTGGAGAAACCATCTGGATTCTGAACCAGATTTGGAGTAGATGCTTGGGAACAGAAAACTAATTACAGCTCTATAGTAAGAGCTCAACACGGCGAACCTCTGTCAGTCCCTCTCCTTTCTTTTGGACTAGTCTTCTTTGTCTGTGATGAGATTTTTATGGACCATGGTTGCTAGATTGTTGATGCAAAAAGCCTTGGGAAATTAAGAAACAATTTCTCTTGGTACCTAACTCTAGACACTGCCCTTTTCATTCTTCTATTTATTGTTGTTAATGAGTATTGGCCCGGTGTAATTGTAATCAAGTAAAATTGCTGGCCCATATTCACATCAATAGGATTCAATTCTGACTGATCAGATAGTATCCAAAGGGGTTNTTGTAATCAAGTAAAATTGCTGGCTCATATTCACATCAATAGGATTCAATTCTGACTGATCAGATAGTATCCAAAGGGGTTCCCTCTCTTCTGTCTCACACACACACTTTTTGACAGTGACTGGTTATTTGATTGCACATTTCATATTGCAGAACACCACAAATGAGAACAATTATATTCAGCAGATCTCAGAGAATAGCAAGAAGAGGCTTTTCCAGAGCGATTATCCACTGGAAACACATCCAGTATGCAATTCTTGGTCCCATTGCTGGTGGGTGCAATCAAAATATTCTCANAGAGAATAGCAAGAAGAGGCTTTTCCAGAGCGATTATCCACTGGAAACACATCCAGTATGCAATTCTTGGTCCCATTGCTGGTGGGTGCAATCAAAATATTCTCAAAGAAATGGGTAAAAACTGGAATATGCTTCAACACCTTTGCTTTCACATTGATGATTTCATGGTAGATGAGCACATCGCCATTGCCATTGGAAAGAGTTTTCCAAGACTCCAGACTCTCGAGTTCTTCCATTGCTGCATAGGTCAAGTGGGAATAGCGATTTTCGTAGGCAACTGTGGGGAACTCAGGCGTGTGAAAATTGAATGTTGTTGGTTGCTGGAAGCGGAAACCAGTAGTTCTAAAGGTGGATTGAGGAAGAAGGCAGAACCTCGAGATTTTGTTGAATGGCCTAATGATCTTGTTCAAGTACTAGTCTTGATTGGGGATTCATATCGATAAGAGCTTCAAATTTGCATTGTATAGCAGATGCAAAAGCATCCATACAAGCAATTTGAAAGATAGTACAATAAAATCTCCAAAGAGGNAGAGCTTCAAATTTGCATTGTATAGCAGATGCAAAAGCATCCATACAAGCAATTTGAAAGATAGTACAATAAAATCTCCAAAGAGGGACATAAGAAATCTAAGTTTTGTTTTTGTAAAGTTGTGTAAGACGGGATGAGTGTAAAGTTGTGTAAGATTGGTAGGTACTTGGTTCTTTACATACATAATTTTCATGTTATGTCATTATTGAATTATTTTACTATTTTTTAAAAAAAATTATATGATATTTAACTTATTTATGTATGCCACTTCAACTTACTATTTTATTGTGTTTTATTTTCTCTGATAATAATTTTATTGAATTTTTTTTTATATTAATTAATTTTCATTATGGATCCTTTATGAAAATGAATGATTTAATTAGTTAATTTTTTTATGTTTAAATGAGAACAAAATCAAATTTGAGAGAAATAGAAAATGTGAATGATTTATTTTCATTTTTGGAAGAGAAACATGCTTATTATATTTTTTTTATTGAAGTATTAACCATTTTTTTGTCCTTTAATTAGTGTGTATGTGTGAGATGGATTGCACTTNGGAAGAGAAACATGCTTATTATATTTTTTTTATTGAAGTATTAACCATTTTTTTGTCCTTTAATTAGTGTGTATGTGTGAGATGGATTGCACTTTTGGACTTAAATTTTAAATTTTATTTTGTTGACTTAATCTTTTAGGAATTTTTTTTGTAAGCTAAATTATAATAAATTATATTTTATTAAACTCTAAAATTTGGGGTTTTTTATATATGGGCCTACAACCTATGCTTTTTTGACGCTAATGTTGAGCCGGCCATGGGCTTAATCTAAATCTCATGGATTGATCGATTAGAAAGGCACTGATCATGGGCTTAGCCCAAAATTCTACCCGCATACCTATATATTTATGCTGCTTCAGTCTCCTTTTTCAATGCGCAGTAGTGTACAATGCTTGAGCCTTTGAGGGGTTAGAGTTTGACAAAACCACAGGTACTTCTCTCCATAGCAATTTACTGATCATAGGTTTCAGGGTTTTGCAAAAATCTGATGAGTTTCCTGAAAATATGTTATTTTTGTTTATATTCCTCTCATAATTGCCCTTTTTTTTTCTTTTTTTTTTTGGTTCTTAGAAAAATTGACTGGAAAACGAAAGAAAATTATGTAAGAAACCTGGGCTCTCATAGGTTTGTTCCAAGTTGTGTCGTGTTTGCGTGCTGAATATCAAAACATGGAACTAATAAGAAATTGTGTATATATCTTTTTATGTTTCTATTGGTTGCTGTTTGTTTAGTATCTGTTCTTCAATTTCAGTTAGTTCATAGCAATTGGAAGTAATATTGTATGTTTGTATTTGTTAGCTTTTCTAATCATAATCTTTATTGGTTGTTGGTGTCAAGTTTATAATTTTTTTTTTCCGTGTAAGTGGGCTTTATATTGTTGTCTGAATGTACATAAAACAATTAGTAAACACCTAATAACCTTTGACAAGATCCTAATGCCCTAGACATTCCTTCTTATTTTTGCCTTTCTTTGCTTGAGTGTAACCTCTTATTGAAATCTGCAGAAGAAAGTAAAGTCTACTTTTCCTTTGAAATCGATTTGGCTTGACTCCACAAACACATTGTAGCAATGTGTCACCTATAACGACTTGGCCAACTTAGGTTCAAACCCCTTTGCTGCCATGGACGCAAAAGCACAAACTGATTTCATTGTAGTTCTTTGAGTGAATGGATGAAGTGGTCCTTTCTATTTGAATTGATGATATGATAGTTGGCTGAAATTTTGTATGACTTTCTTACTGAATTCTGTTTGAGTTTATTTTTCTTGACATGAGTTTTGCCATGTTTATTTCATCTTGTTATGGTGGGCAGACAATTTTATGGAAGAGAAGGGGCAATGCCCACCACCAACATGTGAGGCACACACAGTGACCTCTATAAACAGGGCACAAGAAGTAAGCAGCAACTTGGCAGTGGAAATTCCCTTGGAGGATAGAAAATGGAAGGATTTAGATTGTAATATTCTTAAGATAATATTTGATCAACTGCATGTCTATGACTTGTTTGCAAGTGTCTCTTCGGTTTGCCTTTCATGGAAATCCACCTGTTGGGACTTATTGTTCTGGAGTAATAGTATGCTTGAATTGAGTTCTGCTGCAGTCTACCTTCACAATTTCAATTTCATGGACATAAAATCAATGGAAGCGACTGTATTATTACTCACCGAATCCTTTGGCAACTATAGTCAATTGGTAGAAGATGATTTGAAAGATGTGCAATTGATGAAGTTTTTGAAGAGTTTAATGGAGGGTAAGGATGCATATGGCAATTCATTGGAAAATTGGAGGCAGTCAATCCAGACTATCCTTATTCCTTCCGATCTTGAAATCACAGACCAACATCTTCTTTACATTTCAGAGAGGTAAGCNGGAGGCAGTCAATCCAGACTATCCTTATTCCTTCCGATCTTGAAATCACAGACCAACATCTTCTTTACATTTCAGAGAGGTAAGCCGGTGTACTAAATTCCTTTATTCCAAGATAAATCACTTTAGGCAACCCTTTCAGTTTCTTTTACTTCCGTCATTAGTATCTAGACACCCCCTTGGTGTTATTTTAATTCTCCCTGTCTGCATCTTTCATATAACAGATCCCCTGGTCTCAAGTCTCTATTCCTAGAAGGAGCATCTAAGATAACAGCAAAAGGGTTTGCAGAGGCAATCCGTAGTTGGAAGTACCTTGATGTTATACACCTAGGTGAATTTGATGACCAGCACTACACTCAAATTATTGAAGAGATAGGAATAAATTGCAAAGGACTTGAAGAACTTCACATATCCAAGGTAACTCTTAGCGAGGATATTGCACATGTGCTAGCTAAAAGTTTGCAGAACGTGAAGAAACTGAGGTTTGAAGCTGCTTGGCTATTCCTTAGTGCATTAAAGACTGTCCAGGAAAGATGCCTTCAGCTGGAAGAGATGCACATCAGTAAGTGCACCTATCCCTGTAGGCTACGCCCAGATTTTACAATTTGGTTGGGGCCTATTAGTTTTAGTTTAATAAGGAATGTAGGGATTGGCGACCAGCGGTGCTGGACTATGGAAAAATTTACCGACTTTTAGAGTTTCAAGCAATGAATTGGTATGTCTGGACACTGCATTATAATCTCCATAACTAGGCTCTCTTATTATCATCATTGTTGTTTTGTGGGATTGCAGTCTGCTGAAGACATTTAAAAAAGACTTCAATTTGTAAACACTTCTATCAATAAATTGTACAATCTATCAAGGAAAATAAAACGAAAGGAAAAATTAGATCAGTGCATTGTAGTTTGAGAACAAGATGTTTGGGTATCTTCGGTCCAGTCGGAGTTGGGTTCACTCCAGGACCGGGGTCTAACCCCAAGCTTGAAAAACAAGATCATCTCCAATGCCTCAAAAACCTTTTGCTTATCCAAAAATGCATTCCATACTCCACTCACTATGCAGTAATTGTTGTTATAAGGTGGACGATGGTGTGCTGCGTGCTGCGAGCGCGATACGAGTATACCAGCTTCTTGCAGTGCCACCACCAGTGGAGGGAGCTTGCTCTTTGTACCATGAGCCCAGGCATGGAACTGCTGGCTAAACATAATGCAGCCAGAGTAAACACCAACGAACCCGTGCAAGACTGGATCATTGAAGATAAGTTCTATGGGAAGGACAGTGAAGGTTATGGCGCGCGCAAGGGCATGTATGTTGTTGGCAAATTGCCGCCTTGTGATTGTCCATGGCCACTGGTGGTGACCTTGGAATGCTGCTATTTGGGATCCAAACATTGGAGTTTCAGCACCACCGTAATTATCGATGCCCCAATGGTAGACACCAGAGCCAAGGTCTGCGAGTATGTATCCAACCAAGCCGGAGAAAATAGGCTCTAACCACATATGTGAGTCGGCGGCACCTGATATGGATTTTGCTAGGGAGATGATCACGGTGGTGCACCCACTTGCCACCCATACACGATGAGACCATGTGGATTCCAAAGTTGGGTCATTGAGCACAATGCGGTTACTAAGGGCGGTATTAGCAGCCGTGACAAGGGTGGGTGGTGGGTGTATGACTAGGGACTTTGTTGTCATGTTTGTTTCGGTGGTCGTGGTGGTTGAGCAATGGACTCGGGTGGTGAGGGAAAGATGGCGGTGGCGCCGGCGAGCATGGTGTGGGGACCTTAGAGGGTAGTGGTGGTGGGGTAAGATGTACATTGAGCCAAACAATGGTAGCCAAAGCTCATAGAAATGAGCATATGGAAACAAGAGAAGCTATATGTGTAAAAAGAAATAGTGGTTGTTGAGGTCCTCTTGGAAGTTTTGTGGTGGGCATCTTATTAGAGGGAAAAGAAATGGCAATTGGCTTTGGTGTGATAGTGGTGCTAAGGAAGGATGCGTGGGGCTTTGGAGGTCGCTAAAAGCCTTTGTGAATTTGTGTCACACACTTGAACTTCTAGGTTATCCTACATGTTTGAATAGAGGAACCTTTTTGGGTCCAGTGGTGTCTAGCGTGTTCAATTGATATATGATCAATTGATTCCTTTTTTTTTGTTTTGTTCTACAGTTTGTGATTTTTGAGCTACCTCATATACATCTCGATTAATCTTTTTTCGATCTGGTCAAAGACAGGACCAGGATATTCACGAGGGATTTATCCCTCATGACATAGCCTTAAGGAGTTGTTAAGATTAAAATTTAAAACGTCTGAATTTACAGCTCGTCTCTATTGTCACTTGAGCTATCCCTTTGGGTTTTAATAAATTGAAAAAAAAAACGCGTATATTACAAGATGCATAGTTGTCATTTTTCTTTTGTGAAAACAGGTGACATCTTGCATTAAAATTGCTTATGCCAATTGTTAATTTGACAAAATCAAAATTAGACAATATAGACATCTTTTTTTTTATTTTTTATTTTAATTTTTTGAAGAGGAGGAGGGGGATTTAAAATTTTTACTTTAAAAAGACAAAATTTTTACAAGATAAAGAATATTATTTGACCAAAAATTCATTAATATCTTCCCATCAACGGTCACACTGGTTTGTTCAGATAGGTCCCTTCCAATTTCTCCTTTGTTTTAACCATAACTTTTCAAATTTCGTCTTTTCAAATTTCAAGATAATCGTTTTAGTCCATCTACTACAAAAAGATTATAACTAATCTTGAATTTAAACAGGCTTTTCAAATTTCAAGATAATCGTTTTAGTCCATCTACTACAAAAAAATTATAACTAATCTTGAATTTAAACAGGCTATACCAACTCGATGTACATCAAATTTTATTTAAATGAATGTTATTTGATAATTCTCTTTAACTAACTTATTCATTGGACAAGTAACGTTAATTGTCAATTAACTAAAAGTATAAAATTTGCCCCAAACAATATCAATTCCTTAATGAAGAAGATTTTCACCAAACAAGATGCAACTATTACTTTGAATATTCCTAGTGGCATTTTGCTCAGCATCAAGATGGATGCTGGAATATTCCTTATAACATTCCATTTGATTATACATTGCTTCTACCCACCTCTTTCTTGGTCCCAAGCTAGGTTTTCAATCATTTAGAACCGTTCATCCTCTTCTTTCTATTTCTATTTCTATTTCTATTGTGTCTTTCTATGATGGATTAGGGTCCTCTAACCCAGCTTATTCACTGTTATAGGTAACTCTGATTAGTTTATTTTATTCTTCTGTAGTCAAACAAAGATTAATTAAGGGTAATGATCACGGCATCGGGCCCACCTGCCTCTATCCGTCAGGCTAGGGCTTGCCTGTCTAGTCAATTTTTTAGTTAAGAGTATCAATTGTGTCGTGTTAAACGGATACGAATCCAGTCTAATCGGGTTTGTGTGAAAAATTAGTAAATTCATACACGACTCGTTTAAGTAAAAGTGTGAAAATTTTTAAACCAAACACAATTTATTTATTAAACGAGTAATACGATACAACTCGTTATGATAAACAAATCGGGTTGAATCGGTTTAACACAATAATCTTTTTAGCTTGTCACCCCGTTTAACCTGTGTTGATTAATCATATCATATCGAATTTTGAAATGCCTAATTTTAATGTAACTATCTTTTTTTACATCTTTTGATAAAGATATGGTGGAGCCAGAAAAGACAGCCCACAGCTCTATTCATTGGGTAACATCATTTCATGGCCACTACATGATGGACTGGGCCAACCCATAGCCCGGTGGGCCAGCCAACCTTTTGTGAATATATGAACATTTGGGTCATTTGCCAACTAGTAGAAAACATATACGTGTCAAAGATTTCCATTGCGTGTCTGTTTTTCAAACTCTCTCCTCTTTTGACTTAAAATGATAGAAACGACGACAGCACTACAATATCGTGCCCAATCTTGTTATATTAGTAGTAAATCTTATTGAATTGTTTGTCATCGTTGATTACAAAAATCTATAATATAAAATAGGATAAATTTCAATAAATTTATCTGATGATCTCAAATAAATTCATCCAACGACCACCAACATTCTTATCGAAATCATTCACACGGGTTACCCTTAGTAATAAAATAAAATATAAAAAAATTACACATTTTTTTATTTTAATTGATAAAAAATAGGAGATATGTACCACCTTTTTTTGGGGGTAACAGAAATCTTTGAATTATTATCGACGAATAGAGTTGCGCTTATATCACTTATGCTCATGCATTCGAATAGAATTAAAGGCAAAGTACAAGTGTATGAATCGGTTTTTTAATCTATATATTAGCTAAATTAAGACTTGCACTTCGTTAGGGATTCGATTTCATATCAAAAATTTAGATACAATTCGTTCAAACAATTGAAATTCGTCCTACCAACAAATCATGTTTTTGTCACCCGAAAGACTTGAACTCTTAATATAGGCAAAGTCGTCGGTGCTACCACCTTCTTTACGCCCACGTTGCTTTGGAGTGTACAACTCCAATGCTGTATAATTGCAGGCTGTTTGTTTGATGACTCAAGTTTATACCTTTTCAATACTTTATTCAATGGGTGCACACAAAAACAGTCTGGCAGGGCTTCATATTTTAGTACAATCACAAGATATATTTCCAATTAAATTGACTAAATCACCACAAATCATAAGCAATTGACTCCATATTTTGGGTTTACTTATAATGATTGAGATTCTGTAATGCATCAAAATTTAAGTGTTTGTAATTTCTGCATTAATCATCCATCAACTTGCATAATGCTTCTAGATACCGTATAATTCGATATTACGCCGTTATACCCCATTTATTGGGATCCATAACTCAACAAAGTTCGGACAAAATTTCATTTATACGGGGAGCTCTACCAAAAATGCAACTTGTGTAATCATATAACATTGACCAAACTGGGTTCATTCATCCATACTCAATTGCATAGTTTTGAATATTACCATAATCATCATCACTACGTACATTCATTCATAAAAAAAATAAATATCTCAAAAAGAGTTATATGTATGTGTCTTTTAAATATAAATAAATTTTTGTTTTAAAAATTATACAAGACCAAAAATAAACATATATGAAGGGATTACGACGTCAAAATAAAAATTACAGTCCAGCTCTATCATCAAAGCAAACCAATAGGAGGGTCTTCGGTAAAAGCCTGTGGTGTACCAAAAAATTGTTCCCATTTAGGCTGAGTCAACGCTCAATATGGTAACTCCTATAGAGAATACCTCTTAACCCAAATGCATATGAAATATCACATGCAACAATCATTTCAGACATATATAAATAAATATCATAAATCATGTCATGTCATGAGATGAAATGAGATGAGACTCACGCAAGCAAAACTAACACCAAACCCCATCCTAGGCTCACACATGCAATGTCATGCGTAAGTATCCAGGTATTTCAAGCCCCTGTTATTAGTGTTATGTACACTCAATAACTAATTAAACTATTTTTTTTGTGTCTTTTGTGAAGAGATGATTTATGGTATTTCACTAATGAGACACCATATCATCAATGAATTTTAGGACATCCCACTTGCGGCTCCATTTTTGCCGTTACACTTTTATAGAATTACATTGTTATAAAGTGTATAAACCAAGTAAGCGAGTCTTGCACTCGATGAAGAATCTAACCCTTCTTGTTATACTCCGACACGTTTATCTATTTAGTTTTTCGTGCGACTCAGCTGGACCTTGATGCGATTTTTTCGGGCCCACAATCAACCACTTATGTGGTGATTGGTTTCACACTATACACACACTATCACCCATGTCAAACACCCATGAATACAGTGCAACTCTTGCATAAATGCAATACAATGTTCATTACATAATTAGTACAATATAATAATATTTTCAACACAATCACAATCATGTTACGTAAGATTACCAACTCAACTAACATACTTGTATTCACCTAAGCAGTTAAATAAACACCTAGAGAACACATCAATTTAAACAACTAGTATGTTTATTACTTCCAACATGACAACATATTTATTAATTCTATAAGTATAAGAACAAATCCACCACACTAATTATATGCATTTAATATACATATTATTTCATAATTACATAACAAACTAATAATTTTATTAAACTTAATATGTCATTAAAACATCAAGTCATGCTAATATACAATTAACATACTTTAAACCGCTAACATTAATTTACACCAAGTTAATTATAATAAGATTTTACTAATTATAAGGTTAATTATAAATTCTATATTTGACGCACTAGTTACATTAGTCAAAATCTAATATGTGATATACACCCTTACCTTATCCATTTCATATATCATATTTTAGGTTAAAATTACAATTAAATAAGGGAAACCCTACCTCTCATAGCGTAAGCCCACATAGTAGAACTCTAAGGAAAGTTCAAATTTAGCTTCTCAAATCTTAGTTCTAGATTTTTGTCTTTGATATTTTTAAAGAAAAATACAATTTTTGGTGTGATTGCGTAACTCTTACCGCGTATAATAACTTTAATTCTTAACTTGAAGCGATTAAATTATTTGATCTTCATAGATCTGAGAAAAAAGATCAATAAGTTTACTTTTTTTTACCTTTTATTTTTCTCTTTTTCACTTTTCTTTCTCTCGATCTGGCCGAATGTGGGAGTGCTGCATAAGTGGAAAGACTTTTGTCTTCCATTTTATATAGGTTTAAATATTTGCCCCCATTGCACCACGTTCAATTTTATTCTAAATTATTTAAATTTTATTATATTTTTATTGAATTAATTTTAAATTATTTTTCAGGTCCCGCAAATAAAATCTGATTGCAATTATTTTAGTCGCGCGACACCCAGTCGCTTTATAACACGTGATCTGCTTCAAAATTTTATAAAAATTGATTGGGTAGTTAAATTTCGCGGGATGAATCCAACGGTAAGATCTGTTTCGTAGTCTCAATTCTATAAAAAATTATGTTTTTTACCTGTATTTTAGCAATTAATTACTATTTTACCCTTTAATTAAGATTTAAAAGCAAAAAATTTGGGTTTTACAGATTCATTTGGGTACCCTTTTTTTTTTTTTTTTTTTGTAAATAACACAATTAGTCCTTACACTTTGTTTCTTATTTTAAAATAATTTTTGAACTACCAATTGTCGCATTTTTTAATCTTTCAAAAATTAATTTCATATCAATAAAGTAATTTTGTCTATTTCACCAATTAGAACAAACGGAAACACACACTTGTGTTTGCCATGTGATTGTTCACATCACGTGTCTTTGTGTTGTTCTAACAGGTGAAATGGATTGATGAACTTTATTAACACGAAATTGATAATTGATGAACTAAATCGAGACAGTTAAAAGTTCATGAACCATTTTAAACACATAAGACAAAATTTAAAGCCGCCTAATTTGTGAATTTTTTATAATTTTTCTTAGAGGTAGACACCTTCCATTACATTTTATATCCTCTACCAACATATATTATGTGATCCACAATATACTTTATGAGAAAAGTTATAAAGAAAGAATCTCAATCCACTCATGTTTTTCCAATCTTAAGACACTTTTCATTTAATTGTACAAAGTTGTAGATATCATAAATGAGTCAAATTGGTTGAGTAAATTAATCTTTTTACAAAATTACATATTGTCTACAAAGATCGACTACATTAAAGGTATTCTTGTTTATTTTGGTAGGCTACCCTGAAGCCCCTTCAACTTGAGGTGTATTTTAAAATCACCAAAATCAACAATGTTATGTTAATTAAGATTTTTTATTTTAAATGATGGGATAAAGTGTTCACCATCAAAATAAGTGGTTCTCACTAATATTTAATGATGAAGATTGTATCACATCATTTTAAATGGAAATTTTGAAAAAAAAAATATGGTAAGTATAACATTAATGCGCCAAAATATTAAAAAAAAAAAGAATAAATAAATAAATTTGCAATCTACTCTTAACCCTAAAAAAATCATAGACTTTAAAGTCTTTTCCATTTCATACTCCCCTTCGAAAGTTTCAATTCTCTTAACCCAAAATTTAAATCATTATGTTATATCTATTAAACCATAAATCTATATTTTTAATTGCTCAATTTTAATTTCATAGATTTAGATCCACTCAATAATTTTTTTTTAATATTATCTTAATGATAAATTACTTGAGACTACTTGTAGTAAAATTAACGAACACCTATAAATAGAAGTTGAGGAATCACTCATCAGGGGAATCGAGAAAAATAGTAGCAAAAGATATGCAAATTCTAATCCGTTAAATTATAGTCCACAATATTCTTTGCTAAAATTGTATTCTTTCACTGGTCAAATATATAGAGAGTAGCGTGATCATGAAAACTATACACCATAATCTCTAATAAGTACTTTTTGCGTATACCGTTGAATCATGATCTAATGGTCACCAAATAAATATGCTTAAAACTAATTGTTAACGAAATAAGAAATATTTATGACTTATTAATTGTAATCTAATCCTATAAAGAAAGCCCTATTTAATTTTTTGAAATTCAATATAAGTAAATATATTGACCTTTTTATATATGTTAGACATGTTGACACACTATGTGGGTTCAATTGGGGTACACCATTGTTGGGTAGGTCTTTCTAGTTGTTTGGTCAAATTACTAGTTTGTCTTTTTTTTTTTTATGGTCATTATAACACTAATTTGCCCCCTTAATACCATAGTTTTACAATTATTGAAGGAGAGTAGTTAATCTTTTTTTCTCTTAACTTTCTAATCAACCCAATTAGGGGTGCTTATTAAGTTTAAAATTATGATTGGATATCAAAAGTCATTGTCATCATTCTTTTATTTTTAAACCCAACATGAGAAATTTTTTATTTTTTAAACCCAATTGTTACAAACTTTTGTGCCTCGGTGGGAGATAGACATGAGGGAAGGGTTTGAGTATAAGAGTCGTAGTTGGCAAGAGATCGGCGTGAGATGAGATGAGTTTGAAGAGATATTTTTAGTTTTTTTTTAATAAATTAGATGGGTAATATGGACATGAGATAAAAACCATCTGGGGCATTAGGTTTGGTATGTTCAATACTAGTTAATAAAAAAAAAACCTTAAGAGTTTTTCTTACAGGATTAGATTACAATTTATAAATCATAAACATTTCTTATTTAGTTAACAACTAAATTAAGTAGGTTTTGTTAATTAATTTTAAGTACTTTTAATTAGTGATCATTAAATTGTGATCCAATGATATACATAAAAAATACCCACTAGAGATTAGATGCAGAGGGCTACTATGTATTTATTACTGTTTTCGTTCTTAAATATTTGTTGTTTTACACAATTTTTTTTGTTTCATAATATCTTTCGTTTAATGAAACAAAGTATAATTAATATTTTTTCTTCAAAATTTATCGGTAACTTTTCAATGCATTAGATTAGATAGAGGTTAAGTGTTTTTTATATTATTTTTCTTCCCAATATATATTGAATAAGAGTATTTTAATCTTGTGTAATTATTTTTTACTCGTATTAGGATTATTTAATAATTTTTTTAATTCATGTGTAAAAACTTAAACGACGTATATTTAGAGAATATTTTGTAAAAGAAAGATACAATTAAGAGCATCTTAGCCCCTAATTATTATCAAAACGACATTTTTCTTAAAATCAATTTCCCTCAACAGAAAAATGGAAATAGTTGGTGATTGCATAAAAAGGTCAACATTTCGTTCTCGTTCTTTCTGCAAGACCCTCTCTCTCCCTCCTTCAGGATCCATGTCACTTCTCTTCAAGAACCATTACTTCCTGAGCATCCTCATCCTTTTGTGTTTATACACATCGTATATACGTGCCCTGAAAGCCCCGTTTCATCCACAGGACGTACTGCCACTGTTGCCCAGACAAGTCTCATGGCCAGTTCTCAACTCTCTCCGCAGTGCAGTCGATCTTTTGCCTACTTTTGTAGGGGCTGCTTCGTCTTCCAACAAAACAGGGGAGTGGAAAGGGGCTTGCTTTTACAAGAACACGGCTTGGATGGAGTTTAACCACAAAAATGGCAGTGAATTTGGTGGAGGAACTCTTCATATTAAGGTCTGAAAAATTAACTAATTTGGTTCTTTTTGGGTATGTTCCTTAATTTTTATTGAATTATTTGGGTGTTGGATTTGAGGGTATTGGAGTTATTAAATGTTGCTGCCTGGATTGACCCTTCTTGCTTTGTTTTTAAGTTATTTGTTGTTTTACTGCCAGAAGCTCTGAAAATTTGGGATTTATTTTAGCTCCCTCTTTATATTTTAGTTGATTTTGTTCAATTCGGTGGATGCACTCTTAACATTGAGGTCTCGATGCTGAGTACTTTGGGTTGCTTTTGATTGTTTTCTTTGTTACTGTCGAACTTTAGGAGTGTTGGGCATATGGGTACTGATGATGGTGAATGCTACTGCCAGCATAGAGCCTTTTTTGGTTTTTGATTTTCGCGTGTGGTTTTTTTTTCGCGTGTGTGCTTTGGGTGGTTTGGGGGGGGTTGACTGCCAAACTTAAGGAATTGCAGTGAATTCGTTCAAGAGACTTTACAAGCTTAACTGTTATAAACTGTTTTTTATGTCAATTTTCTGGACTTTGGGGCATGTGTTATTGGTTTTATTCAACGACATTAACTAAATTAAGCTCTTGTGGTTTCCTTTAGATGGATCAGTTGTAGATTTGACTGCAAGAAACTGATAAAACTTGGGACTTCCTTATCTTACTTTTTAATACTTGATTGTTTGGGTGGAGGACTCTTCATTTTAAGGTCTAAAATTAACTATTTTAGGTCGAATTTGTTTTCTTTGGATGGTGGACATAGGGTTGATGTACTTATTGTTACTGCTTGAATTTTGACTGCTTTATTTGAATTCGTTGGGGTATTGGGGTGTTAGATGTATAGACGTGGATGCCATTCAATGCTATTTCCTGGATTAAGCTTCTTTGCTCTCTATCAGATGGCTTAATTTGATTTCAAGTTTTGGCATACTCTTTGGGTTTTATCTCTGATTCTGAATATAAGTGCTCACCCAATGTCACTCATGAGTTTTTTTGGTTTGTGTTTCACTTTTAATGGGATATTTGAGCCTACAGATTGAGAAAGAATCAGTCAGGTTATTTTTTTTTCAAGTTTTGTTGTCTCTATTGAATATCGGGGAGTTGAATATTTTGCTATTGGGATTACTGTCTTTGATGCTTGCATTCAGTTTTTGTACTAGTTTCGATTTCCCCGGATTGATTGAGTCTTGAGGATTTGTGGAAGTGTGACAACTAAGTCAGCTGTTTATCCTGAAATGCTAGCGAGTTTGGTTTTTTTGGTACTTATATATTGATATAATTAATTATTTGGAGTGGGCTGGGGAGGGAACTGTTTGTTTTTATCAGTTATTACTACCGTCTAAATTTCGGCGTTTGCTTCACTCTATATTATTTTTGTTATTCTGTGTCTTCTTTCCCCAGGTTAGTGATGCGCATAGTTGGACATGCATGGATCTTTACGTCTTTGCAACACCATATCGCGTGACATGGGATTACTACTTTTTATCTCGTGAACATACCCTGGAGTTCAAAGAATGGGAATCAAAAGCTGAATTTGAATATGTAAGTGGTCTCCATCTGTTATTTTTAAAGTTGATAGGTAGACACACTTGCACACACACGAATAATGTGAAGCATGTATTTTTGGGTTGGACTTTGTCTTTTCCTTCAATGACAACAGGTGAAACACAAGGGGGTTTCCATTTTTCTCATGGAAGCGGGCATGCTGGGAACCCTTGAGGCGCTATGGGATGTCTTTCCCTTGTTCACAAACACGGGATGGGGTGAGAACTCAAACATTGGATTTCTTAAGAAGCATATGGAGGCTTCCTTTGAACAACGTCCTCAGCCATGGGTTACAAACATTAGTGTTGACGACATACACTCTGGAGATTTCCTAGCGATATCGAAAATTCGGGGCCGATGGGGTGGTTTTGAGACCCTTGAGAAGTGGGTAACTGGATCTTATGCTGGTCATACTGCTGTTTGCTTAAGGGATTCTGAAGGAAAGCTGTGGGTTGGGGAATCGGGACATGAAGATAATGAGGTAATATATTTAAAGCTTCCAAAAGTCGCATATTTTAGTAGGTTTGTCCTCCTGGAATTGAAGCTCATTTAGAGTTAAGCATTTGCACCAATTCTTTTGGTTATTTGTTCATGATGTCTTTCTATCATTCCTGTGTCTCTCTCTCTCTCTCCATGTGTATATAGGGGTATACACACGTGTGTATCTATATATGTATTCCCATATATATGCTTGTACGTATATCCAAAAAGTTGTGTGACTGTGCAAACCATAATTTGATAAGGAAAGAGATGGGAGATGGGAGATGGGAGATGGGAGCTGGGAGGTGGGAGGTGGGAGGTGGGAGGTGGGAGATGGGAGATGGTTTTCAGAAAGAATGAGTTTCATAAATTAGGGTTTATAGATCAGTGAAATTCGCAACATTTTTTCCCACTTTGCATAGATTGTGTGAATTTAAGGCCAAAAGTGTGCCCTTGAATCCAAGCTTCTACTGTAAATAAGGAAATGCATGGTGATAAGAGGCTCATTTTTATAAGTCTTAGTAATGCTAAAGCATAAGAAGGTAGTGAGGAGCAAGTAACCAAAAGAAAGAGATTAATGGTGCCAATTGATGTCTTTTACATTTTATCCTCTTCTCTGATCACAGTTTGCAATTTTGTTTTCACTTTATTCTGGAAAGTATGGGGATTAAGTGTTAGATATTGTCCGGAGAAGTTGAAAACTACTTCTATTTGCATTTGATGATTGGTTCTTTATTACTCTTTAATTTAGTATGATAGAGAAGGAGGGATCTGTGTGGTTCATCCTACAATCAATTACAGTTTCTACCCAAGTACCATTCCAAATCAAGAATCTGGCAATAGTGTATGCTGTAACTTTATACTCAAGTGTGTGGAGGACATAGGGCTACCATCAATATTTAAAAATTATAATATTGTAGCTTTTATATTGAGTGGTATGCTTTAGCCATCCCTATTGGGAGGTGTAAAGTCTAGAAACTGGTTTAGATATGTGTGTGTGTACTAGTATTTAGAACCAGTTTTGACTTGATTAGAATTTTTCGATTGTGTATGACACATTCAATCAATATTAAAGCTATCCCTTTATGTTTTCCCATAAGCAACTTCGTTTTATTCTTCCCCTTAAATATTATAGATGTTATCTAGTTGTGATGTCTTGCTAATTCAATTTTAAGTCAACATTTGTTGGGTTGTAAAATAACTTTCTTGAGTTATTTGTGGAATGTGGACATGTATTTAGGCGACTATTTATTAAAACTGTGTAGTTATGTTTAAGTAGGCAAACATTCCCAATCGGGGCTTGAACCCTACACTCCATTGGGTTGGCATCTCTGCCCAAACTAACAACTTCTGGTCAATGAACTGAATCCAAGTTTACCCAAGTGAGTAAATAAAACTTAAACCATGCATTTTGGACTTGTGGCTGTAACAATTTTGAATTAGTGTGACACTGTATAAGGAATTATGTGGGAGCTCTTTGTTGATATATCTCAGATCATTAAGTGTAACAAAATTTGATTTGCACAATTCCATTTAGGGAGAAGATATTATTGACATCTTACCCTGGGATGAATGGTGGGACTTCGAGTTGACCAAAGATGATTCCAATCCACATATCGCGTTGCTTCCTTTGCGTGCTGACCTCAGGGCCAAGTTTAATAAGACTGCTGCATGGGAGTACGCACGAAGCATGGTTGGCAAGCCATATGGTTATCATAACCTAATATTTAGCTGGATAGACACCATTGACAGAAATTATCCACCACCTTTGGATGCTAACCTGGTATTTCATTCCTCTTATTTTGAGTATTCAATTTCTAATTGAATTGCTAGATAGGTAGGCATTTTACCCACACATTTCTACTCTTATCTTAGGCTCTTTTCATTTCCACATGTCTATTTTTGTGATTTAACTTTATGGTTTGTGGTAAATGATTTCCTTATTCCGGAAGCATGATTTCCTCTAATTTTTGATGCATTGGGGTTTGCAAACCATTTTGGTAACATCAATGATATAAGGTACTTCAAAATTATGATTTCAAATTTAATCTGTGAAGTTTAATCATCGGTCCTTGTCTCCTAAATGATATGCCGACAATCTTTGCACTTCTCTTTATCTACTTATGCAAGATGAACCAGAAATCCAGTGAGTTTTGAAATAATTGATTCTAAGTTAAAGCTGATCTTGATGTGGTGGCATCCACTCCTGCTCATATGCTCATATTAAATGTGGAGTTTGACAAAGTGTGCCCTTTATGATGCCGGGAATAGAAATTCATTTCTTCCTAGAGATATCATCTTATTTTAGCTCTGCCTAGGTCAAAACAAAATTTAAAAAGGCCACAAGGAACTCAAAAAATAAAAAGCTGTATACTCTTAGCAATACCATGCTGCTGATTGCAGGTGTGAAGTTGTTGTTCTGTCCCTCTCCTTCTCCCTTTCCCTCTCTTTGCTGCATTTGCTGAACTGTTTAGGACTTTACTACACTCACTGGTTTTGATTATTAGCTCAATCATGGTACAGGTAGCTTCTGTTATGACTGTTTGGAATCAAATACAGCCTCAATATGCTGCTAACATGTGGAATGAAGCCTTGAACAAGCGACTTGGAACTCAGGTTTCTTAATAACTTGCTTTCTGTGAATAGAAATATCTCACATTGAAAAATTAAGTAGACCCAAGGTTCGTTTATACTTGAATGGCTACTCCACCCATTTTTCATTGGTTTTGGGTTGGATGCTCTAACATGGTACCAGAGTTGGGCCTTGGGTAATTGATGGTTGAATTCTCCGGTCTGTTTATTTGTCTATTTCAGTTCGCTTCAGTTTGTAGCCCATGTGTGAGTCCAGGTCGCACATGAGAGAGTGGTGTGAAGGGAGATATCCCACATCGAAAAATTAAGTAGACCCAAGGTTCGTTCATATATTTGGGGAACCATTTCACCCATTGCCAATTGGTTTTGGGTTGGATGCTACAACATTCAGCTTATTAGGTTTGCCAACGTTTTGTTTAATGGATGGGATTCACATGAAAAATATGGTTACTGATAAAGTTGTTGGTTTGGGATTTCTTCATTGATTGATGACACATCAACCACTTCCATCTCTTTCATATACGTAATCAGAATGCAACCTTTTGTCTTGTGGTTTTAGTCCAATGACGCATCTGTTGGTCCTAACATATATGTATGGGTGAGTTAAGGCCAAGCAATTTAAATTCTTGGGGAAATTCCAACAGCTACTGTCTTGATAAATTCTTACTTATTGTTCAGGTCATTTTTAAATGTTTGTCTAACTGTGTGTCCTGTGCAGGGTCTCTCTCTTCCTGAAGTTCTTGTGGAAGTTGGAAAGCAGGGGTCCTCCTTTGATAAATTGCTAATGATTCCTGAGCAGGACGATTGGATATATAGTGATGGGAAGTCAACGTCCTGTGTTGCTTTTGTTCTTGAAATATACAAGGAAGCAGGACTATTTGATGCACTTGCAAGCTCCATTCAAGTTACTGAGTTTACGGTGAGTTTGCCAAGAATGATTTGGAGTATTTTGAGATTTTTAATTTGAATGCAATGAACATAGGTCCAGTATTCAGCTGTTTAGAATCATGTGATTGTATTGCACTAAATCACTAGTCATTATTTTTTACTTGATAATATCGGTATTGCATCCATACCTCTCTATCTTATTAGGTTAACTGAAGAACCATTTCAAAAAGAAACACACACTACAAGATTATTGCAACTCTCCTTTTGAAATAATCTTTGAACGATCTAGGAGTAAAACCTTTGTCATAATTACGTCATTGTAAACTGCAGATAAAAGATGCTTATACACTCAAGTTCTTTGAAAATAATTCAAGCCGCTTGCCTAAGTGGTGCAATGATGCAGACACAGTGAAGCTTCCTTTCTGTCAAATTCGAGGGAAGTACCGAATGGAATTACCTGGATACAATACTATGGATCCCTACCCATATATGAATGAAAAGTGTCCATCTTTGCCCCCAAAATACTCCAGGCCAAAGGATTGCTGAAAGGTTTCTCAATTGTTTCCTCTTTTCAAGTTGCCACATGCCAAAGGCTGATATAGTTCTAGGTTCGTTTAAAATTTGATCTTCTGTATACATTTTGTATGTTTCATCTGCCGAGATGCGAAATTAAGATAGCATGACATGTCTGATGTTGGTTGTAAATTTGACTATTACATCACAAAAAAACAGAGAAATCTANGGATTGCTGAAAGGTTTCTCAATTGTTTCCTCTTTTCAAGTTGCCACATGCCAAAGGCTGATATAGTTCTAGGTTCGTTTAAAATTTGATCTTCTGTATACATTTTGTATGTTTCATCTGCCGAGATGCGAAATTAAGATAGCGTGACATGTCTGATGTTGGTTGTAAATTTGACTATTACATCACAAAAAAGCAGAGAAATCTGNAATTTGATCTTCTGTATACATTTTGTATGTTTCATCTGCCGAGATGCGAAATTAAGATAGCATGACATGTCTGATGTTGGTTGTAAATTTGACTATTACATCACAAAAAAACAGAGAAATCTAATGTAGATGAAAATTAATATTGTTTCTTATTTTCTGGCATTTGCAATCATTGATAATACTATGGAAATAATAGTCACTTTTGCATAGCTATGCTACTGATGTTTGTAGAAAAAAAGAGGTAAAAATAAGAGGAAGAGGAGGAGGGAGAAGAACCAGCTTGGTTTCTCTTTACACAGATTCTCTGCTTTGAGTCGGTCCAATTCATTGTTGGATGAGCATGTGCTATGGAGTCCTTTTGACAGAATGTCTTCTGCCAGATCTTATAGGGTTAATGTCACTTTNCCGCATCGAAAAATTAAGTAGACCCAAGGTTCGTTCATATATTTGGGGAACCATTTCACCCATTGCCAATTGGTTTTGGGTTGGATGCTACAACATTCTTCTTGATCAAGAGCTTATTAGGTTTGCCAACGTGTAGTTTAATGGATGGGATTCACATGAACNTTTTGCACCTTGAAAGATATTTTGATTCTCAATTTGTACTCTCAAACATTAAAAATCTTAATTTGCATCCTCAATGTTATAAATTGGTAACAATGTGATCCTTACCCAGAGTAACTTTCAGTTTTTTNTTTTGCACCTTGAAAGATATTTTGATTCTCAATTTGTACTCTCAAACATTAAAAATCCTAATTTGCATCCTCAATGTTATAAATTGGTAACAATGTGATCCTTACCCAGAGTAACTTTCAGTTTTTCGTCATAAATTGATGCATGCACGTGACTTGCAAGTGCTTCTTCTGTTACAGGTTTATGTATAAATTCGTAGACTATTGGTGTCTCATGGGAGTTGCACATGATAGACTTGGTCTCTATTTGATTAACGAAACCGTATTTTTGATGCATAAAATGATATTAAATTAATTGTAGACGAATATTTGCAACGATGAATACACTTCATCCTTATGCTCGAAGCACTTGCAACTCATGTATTTCAATTTATTACAGAAAATTGAACAGCATTTTGGGCGAGGTCTACGTTGCTACCAAATCTTAACATTGATGGTACAAATTGAGAATCGAAATATCTTTCAAGGTGTAAAGTGAAATTAGCCCGAACTTATATATATGTCTAGGTAGCCAGAATTTATGATTTAGATAAGTCTGGTCTACTTGTTCTGAGTAGTTATTACATTTGGTTCAAATTTACAGCGGTTTCTTTGGCATAATTTGGATTGGAAGCCCTTGAGTTGGTACTGGCATTGGATCCCTGCTGAAAAAATTGTCACTGCAGCATAGCTTCCATGTGTATCGAGTAACCAAATAATGGATCGTGACTAGGGTTTCAATCCTTGCAAACTCGTATCCTGGACATATACGAGGGCCCCCTCCAAATGGAACGAAGCTGTAAGGAGGTACAGAAGCTTGGTTCTCAAATCGTGCAGGATTGAACTTTGCTGGTTCTTTGAATATGCTATCATCCATGTGAGTCATGCACGATGCCCAGAATATCTAATTATCAATAGAAAATGTGTTAATTTCATGCCTTTGCCCATTAGAATCTGCAATCATATAATGCAAATGAACTTGCAGCAGGGCTCTGTTCTTACTTGCCATCCCTTGGGAATGAGGTAGCCACCATACTCGATGTCTTTCAATGCCTTTCGGAAGCCTCCAAATATGGGAGAAAACACTCTTAGGGTCTCCATTGCTACTCTCCATGTGTACTTCATCTTGGCAAGGTCTTCCCATGTTAATAAGTCTCCAGAGACCTTGCCTTGTGCTATCTCTTCTTGTTCTGCAATTTCAAATCAACTTTGTCATCAACCACCATGAGCCTAGCCTGGATGGCTTCAAGGGCCTCCAAGAGGCTTCCTCTCTCCTTTTCATTATAGGATCATCATGAGCCTAGCCCAAGTGGCCTCCAAGAGGATCATTCAATTAGGGATTGAATCCCTCCAACACAAAAAAAATGCTTGAGAGAGAGACAGAAAAGGGGGGGACTTGTATACCTTGAAGAACAGCTGCATGTATAGTTGGATTATCAGCAAGCAATCGGACGATAAAAGTAAGCAGGACAGATGAAGTGTCATGTCCAGCAGTCATGACAAGCATAATATTATGCACAATCTCATTTTCAGAAATGACGTTGTCTTCCCCACGGATGCTGAGCAAGCAGGTGATGAGGTCTTGGTGAGATGAAGCACCCTTCTGCTCAAGCTCAACCCTCTTCTCACCTATAATGTCTTTCACCATTTTCTGGATCCTCGCACTGGCTCTGAGGCTGTGATTGAAGCGTGTGAAGGGCAAGTTGATTGGGATCGACCACATTCCTTCAACAATCCTCTTGTAGTTTTTGAGAAGTTCATCTCTCTGGGACCCTCGTTCTATTCCAAATAGAAGGGTGCAAATTATGTCGAATGTTAGTACCTTCATCAGGGGCAGAACCTACCAGAAACACCACCAACTCTGTTAACACATGTTGGTTCAGTGGTCAAATAAAAAACGAGACAGAACATCTCAAAAAACTCTTGATGATGATTCTAGGTATGTTTTTGTGTGTGTGTGNGGTCAAATAAAAAACGAGACAGAACATCTCAAAAAACTCTTGATGATGATTCTAGGTATGTTTTTCTGTGTGTGTGGGAGGAGGANAACACATGTTGGTTCAGTGGTCAAATAAAAAACGAGACAGAACATCTCAAAAAACTCTTGATGATGATTCTAGGTATGTTTTTGTGTGTGTGTGGGAGGAGGAGGAGGGTTGGGGGGTAGCAATAGCACAATACAGAATACAATTTAATGCATTTACTTGGCCAGAATTTGCAGGTTTAATTTACACAACATACCGTGACCTTTTCCTTGCCTTCCCAGTGCATTTCAAGGTGATTCCTAACCTCTCCATCCATCTTCCCCACATACTGCTTCAAACATTCCGGCTTCAAGAATGAGACGAGAGCATCTCTAACACGCTTATGATCTTCGCCGCTGAGTTCCAAAATATTCCGATCACCCAATATCATCCTCAACGACTTTGTCTGCTGGTTCCCTATCGTGCCACCATCAGCAGTGAACACCAACTTGTTTGCAGCTTGTCCAGGTATAAGGACCGTGGGGGTGCCAAAGAGACTTAGTTTGGAAATTGGACCATACTTTCTCACTCTTTCTTCAAGCCATTTTTCTGCAGTGTTAGCTCTCATTGCTCGGAGAAGGGTGAGGCTTTGGCCTATGATGGGAATTCCGAGGGACCCCGGTGGGAGCCTCTGTGATGATCTTCTCCTCCTGGTTAGGAGGAAGAAGATTAGGAGAAGGAAGAGGAGAATAGTGAAGAGGGTGTTCATGGTTGACTCCGATACGCTCAATGTTCAGCAGATGAGGCTCATAGATGTAGAGGTATGCATCTGTAGAGACTTTTTTGTAGTATAAAAATGACTCCTCACTTGTCATCAGTGTGTTGGTTTCTTTCCTTGGTGGTTTTGCATCTAGCAAATTATTCCATCTGATGGGAAAGATAATGAATATTAAAACATGCATTTATTTATATTATCTTGGAAACTAGTTCATCCAATATAGACATGGGAAAGATAATGAATATTAAAACATGCATTTATTTGTAGTATCTTGGAAACTAGTTCATCCAATATAGACAGTTTTGGGCTTGAATTTCTCAGCATTCTTGTATCACTTTATCTTTTTGGAGTATTGGTTTGGTCTTTTTAGCCTGAAACCGTGACCCGCAATTCAAAAATATGTCAAACAATTACTCTTCAATCTTATATCAGCAGAGGCACTCAACATGTCACTGCCCACCAACGGCTCCTCCATTATGCAAGCGAGGTTTAGTATCGTAAACATCAAAATTTCCNATATCAGCAGAGGCACTCAACATGTCACTGCCCACCAACGGCTCCTCCATTATGCAAGCGAGGTTTAGTATCGTAAACATCAAAATTTCCTGGGAAAGATGAAAATAAACGACACCAAATAGCATAGTTTATAAGAAAAAATTAAAAACAAAATCCCTCAAGTCAGAAATTAAAAGACCATATTGAAAGACTATCATCCGAGTTTTTTTGTAAAACTTCTGCCATTAGACAAAACTGGAACACAAGTTGGACATAATTGACACATTCTCGAGACAAAGCCAACACCTTTGACACTTGTGTTACCCTCTTAATATGAACCTTCATCTATACGGTAAAATAACTTACAATTCAAATCTTAAAAAATAAACAAAATGACTTTTGCTATTCGTGGTTAAAATCACTTTAAATTTTACTTTAAAGTTAATTTAATGGTTAATATTAACACCATAAATTTAATAGAAAAAATAGTCTCATTAGGGTGTGTTTGAAGTGATTTTTTAAAAGTACTTCTAAAAATTATTTCTTATAAATACTTTAAAAACAAAAAATAGTGTTTGAAACTGCCTCACCACTACCTCTGCCCCTACTACCACTGCCACCGCCGCCGCCACCACTGCCACCATCGCCGCCACCACCACCGCCACGCCACCTCCATCGTCCCCATCGCCATCCCTATCATTACTGTCGTCGCCCCACCACCACCGCCCACCACAACCATCACTGGCTTTTACCACCACCACTGCCTCCCACCAACTTTTACCCCCACTACAAAATTGATGCTTAAATTTTTTTATTTCTTCTCTATATTTGTAATTTAATTTTGGATATAAATTCAAATATGTTTATTGTTTACCATTTTTTTTTAACTCTATACCTTCAGGCACAGACAATAAATAGTCTATATAATAAAATAGTTTACAATTCAAATCTCAAAAGATAAACAAAATGACTTTTGTTATTCACGTTTGAGATCTCTTTAAATTTTACTTTAAAATTAATCTAACGGCTAATATTAACACCCTAAAATTAATAAGAAAAATAGGCTCCTAAGAATGTATTTTGAGTAATTTTTTAAAAGTACTTATAGAAATTATTTTTTATAAATATTTTTAAAAAAATAATATTTGAAACTGCTCCACCACTACCATCACCGCCGCCACCACCACCGTCGCCGCTACCACCACCACCACCATCGCCGCTACCACCACCACCATCGCCGCTACCACTACTACCATCACCACCGTCGCCACCCTCGCTGCCACCACCACAAATATCACCGTCTCCTACCACTACTACTGCCGCCCACTACCCCTCACTCCCATTACAAGCTGATACTTTAATTCTTTTATCTTTTCTCTATGTTTATGAGTTAATTTTGGATATGAATATAAATATATTTATTATTCACCATGTTTTATTATTTTGTACCTTCAGGCATAGGCAATAACTAGTCCATTTATATTTCACCTAAACGTGGGTAATTTTAAAACCCAAAAAGGATTCAGACCCTCGCTCAACTTGACATGGGTCTATCGATATTCTGACCTTTGAAAATTAATCCTTTCGTCACATTTTTTCATTCACAATTTTATGCTATAGATTGCTCGTCTTCTTCCCCTCGTTCATTTTCTCTTTGGCATCTCACTTGGAATGCAATGCATTCGGCAAAGTAAAGCCAACCCAAAACAGAGCAAAAACCAAAATTAGTATCTTCACATAGGAGTTTACAAGTCATAAGTAAAGAATCCGAATTCAAGAATCAGCACACAAACAAGAAGTACTCTGAAACAATTATAATACATACAGGGGTTGTTTGTTAGACTTATTATAAGAAATTAAATATTAGATTGGACTATTTTTTATTTAATCGAACTCAATACACTGTTTGGTAAGTAAATTTGATACTGTATTAATTTCAAAAATTTATATTATTCGTATATTTTTAATACGATTGACCTATATTATTAAAATATTTTAATACCACCAAGAGAGGTGGTATTATAATCCAAGTCAAACGTATTATTCTACATAGTTACTATTATAAGCCTCCAACGAATAAAATCAAGTTGTTATTAATATAACAAACACTAATTGAGGGTATTTTTGTTAATTCAACATTAATACGACGAAATAATTCTCTAACCAAATAACTGATTGAATTAAATATCTACTATCCAATATTTATGTTGTGTATTGTCAAACACTAGATAAAATTACGTATTATTCTAATATCCTATTTAATCTTTTCTTTTTTCCTACTATATTGTATTAGACTGAATTATTTTATATAATCCATCTATTTTTAATACGGTAACCAAATGAGCCCCCATAGCATTTAAATCTATCGATGACAAAAAATAGAGGTGACAGAGAATAAAGATGAGACTTTGGGTAAATATGGTCAATGTCGTTTGAACGGGACTAATTATTTTCTAATTAAAGCAATTAAACAATTTCTAAGAGATTTCTCCAATTGACATAATTAGGAAATAAACACACCCACGGTAGCCCAACATCTCATTGTAACGGCGATATTATGTCAGCATTACCACGTGGTATTATCAATTAATAATAAAACATTAAATGAGTTAGATGGATTTCACTAGAATAATTATTAGATTACATGGAAAGAAATTAAGTAGTTATTAACTTACGTGTAGAGGTAGTTATTGATCTATGTGGGACCTATTTTTTTATTTATTTACATATTATTGACTGATAATATCACGTGACATTACTGTTATAATAATTATTTTCTCAGCAAGAGTCATGTTATGTAGAATACATTATAGAGATTTGTTTGGATCACGGAGAATAGGTAATTTCGGTGTCGGTCAATAACCTCCGTATGTCAAGTTGAGGATTTGTAATTCCTAAAACAATTAATTGTTTTACATGTTAATTCCTAAAAGAGGATATGAAATGAAACAACCAAACCCTATTTTTATGTAAATTCTTAAAATATTCCAGAAATAAGGAATTACATAATACAAAATTCTTAAATTTTGGAGAATCTGCAAAGATCAAAATTTTGTTTCAGTGCATTATTTGGATCACCTAGAAAATAGAAACGTTTTGAAGTGTTTCAGAAATATTTCGATCCGTTTTAATAATAGAATGAAAAATAAATAAAAAATTTTAAAAATTATTTTTTCAAAATATTGATCAAAATATACTAAAATATCTTGAAATACTTTGAAACATTTCGAAATAATTGTACAAATGCATTGAAATATAACAAAACATTACGAAACACCTCGAAATATTAGAATTTCAATTTTATAACTGATTCATTTCGGGCTTCTTGAAAATAGAAACGTTTCAGATATTTTGACCATTTCGAAACGATATTTTGATCCTTAGTTATATAAAAATAAAATAATAATGTTAGATTGACGTAAAAATAAATAAAAAATCATTAAACAATTAATATTTAATATTTATTTACCATTTCACATTATTTAGACTCTATTCACCCTTTGAACAATGTTCCAATACTTTTGGTAAACCATTTAGGTAACCCATCTAGGGCCCTTTTTGCGTTCCTTGACTAAAAACTACAGCTTTCATCTCTTCCAACATTGGGGCTTCAACCTGGTAAGTGGTTATAAAAGACATGTGGTGGAATGTGATCGGATAAACCTGTTGACCTAATTATCCTTTTTTTTTTTTGTGTCATAAAAAAGGGAATGAGTGACCAGTAAATAAGAATTCCCTAAGGTGTGACCCTGATGCCCCTACTATAAAATGTTTGATTTGAGTTATAACTACTAACTTAAAACAGTTTGACACTATAATACCATCAAAGTTAAACAACAAATCGCGTTGCTCCCATAAATTGAACTCTGTGTGTGCGAGGATTTTCACACAATCAATAAATAAAAATATATCTTTCTCCTACTGAACTCGTGTTGACTTTGAAAATTGACGATCCGATGACAAAGAGAGGCGAAAAGGGGGCCTAAAGAGTGCTGATGAATTGTTTTTAGGGCTGTTCAATTGATCCCGACGTGTCGTTGAAGCTTCCTGACACTCAAAATAGGGGTTAGAAAGGCGCCGGAGTGTTTTTCGGTGTATCCTCTCTAACGATTTAGTCGATTTGTGAAAAAGGGAACATGAAAAGCATTGTATGTCTTGTGAGAAGTCATTTTGCGTACCTTTTCTTCGAGTTTTAGAGAGTTATTTATACCTTCTACGAAGGTCATCATTATTGTATTATTACTGACTAGTAGGTAATAGACGGTGCTCAGTCATTGGGCAATGCACCCTCCATTTTGCAGGGATTGAGTTCAAATATTAAATACTCGGCCTCCTGAGCACTTAATACCCTTTTTTTCCTGGCCCTTGAGCACTTAAATACTCGAACTTTGGAGCATTTAATGTTCCTTCTCCTTGACTTCTCAAGCCACCTTGGACGTCACATCCCTATGGGGATTTATTAAATGCTTCTCTAGGATAAACTGCATGTCAGCAAAGGTATTCCTATTAATTTATCTTTAATTATGTACATTATGCCACGTGTCCAACTCCCCTTGGTTGCTAGTCTCGTTCACTCTGCAACTTTGACTTCATGGGAAAGACAAACCAATGACTTATTGTCAAACTCTAAGATTGATGGACTGTAACGGTCATTAATGTATCCTAAAGTCGAGGTGATGTGTCAGAAAGAATCCTCGAGACCGAGCCATGCATGAGGACGCATGAACAAGAATCTGGAGGTGTCCTTGATGCTGAGGACACGTGTCAACACTACAAGAAGAATGCATTCTCGGTACCAAGGACATGTGTCATAACTAGGAGATTGAAGGTGTCCTCGGTGCCGAGGACACGTGTTACCATCAGAAGGCTGAAAGTGTTCTCGACACCGAAAATACGTGTCATCATCAAGCTTCTCGAGAGTTCTCGGCGCCGAAGAAACATGTCAGATCTTAGACCCTTCTCAAGAATGTTCCATCATAAACCTTCCTTAATAATTACATGAGAGTCAAAGATGATGCTAAATAGATACGACTTATCAATAGACTACTGAGTCCTAATTGTAACTGTCCTCTTTACCTACGACCAAAAAAGCCTAAAAAAACAACAAATGGGCTTAGAATTGGTCTGTGTAGACTCGTAGTCCCCAGCGCATCAAGCCCAGGCTATTGCACTAACACCGACTCAACGTGTTCGTATTTTATCACCATTGGTACAAGGCCCATTCCATTCCTCCCCATTCGTCTATAACCCTATCGCGAATAGAGTCCTCTGATTTCTCTTTCACCCACGTCTAGGGTTTACGACTATCTCCACCATTACAACTCATCTATAGATACGGATCAGTGTATCTATTTCTCATATATCCAAAGATGATGCAACCAAATGGCGTTATCCCACNTCCTAATTGTAACTGTCCTCTTTACCTACGACCAAAAAAGCCTAAAAAAACAACAAATGGGCTTAGAATTGGTCTGTGTAGACTCGTAGTCCCCAGCGCATCAAGCCCAGGCTATTGCACTAACACCGACTCAACGTGTTCGTATTTTATCACCATTGGTACAAGGCCCATTCCATTCCTCCCCATTCGTCTATAACCCTATCGCGAATAGAGTCCTCTGATTTCTCTTTCACCCACGTCTAGGGTTTACGACTATCTCCACCATTACAACTCATCTATAGATACGGATCAGTGTATCTATTTCTCATATATCCAAAGATGATGCAACCAAATGGCGTTATCCCACCTCCAATGCCTCCGATGCCTATGAATCAACAGCAACAACAACCACAACAGTACCAACAACAACCACAACAGTACCAGCAGCAACCACCGCCACAGCAGCAGTGGGTGGCGATGCCACCGCCGCAACAACAGTTTCAGCCTCAACCACCGTCGATGGGATGGGCGCAGCAGCCTCCTCAGGCGGCGGTGTCGACCCCTCACCAGATGCAGGCGATGCAAGCTCAAACTCATCCGCAGCAGTACTCGGCTGCGCCGACTAGCTCCGACGAGATTCGGTCTCTCTGGATCGGTGACTTGCTGCCCTGGATGGACGAGAATTATGTTTCCAATTGTTTCTATCATACTGGAGAGGTAAAGTATTTGTGGATGCTTATGTGTACGCATATATGTACGTCGATACTTATGTGTACGCATATATGTACGTCGATGTGCCATAACTCGAAGAGTGAATTGCCTTAACTGCTCAGGATGTTCTTTGTCGAGTTGACTGGCTTTAGTTCAGACAGCTTAAACAGGATTGTAAACCGCCACCCTTTTGCGGGGTGGGGGATTCAGACGGATGCCACACATATGCGTTTCTGATTACTGTATATTGTGATTTCGTTACTTTTGTTGTTGTGTGGTGACTTATACCAAAATTTTATACAGTTTTGTATGATTTTAGTTCATATATATATATACGGCGAGGCTTCTGTTTGGCTATTAATATATGCATCTGTTTGTAAAGCTAATTGTAATTCGGACCATATTACTGTTAAATTTATAACAGCAGGATTTACTGGTCAATTAAGAGACCGGTGGGATAACTATTTAAGTTTATCTCATAGACATGAAATATTAAATGCAATAAAAATAATAACAGCAGAAGATGGAAATATAACCACTCAAGAAGATGCTATTTATACGTTAATACAAACAATATTAAAATACTTTGTAGGGACAAGCTTAAAAAGTACAGATAAGAGTAAGTAACTCTTAATGAATTTAAGATGTTCTACGTTAACACATTTTAGGTGATATAAAAATATATTTTTGACAAAAGTCTTATTACGAACAGATGCTAATAATGAATTTTGAAAAAAAAAAATTCATATCAGGATTGTCCAATTTATTTGCTAAAAAAAAAGAGAATTCGTTTAAACAAAGACATTGAAGATTTAAAATCCCTTATGAAAATTATACTTATGGAGAATTAATTTTTGAATGTATTTTAGAAGGATTAGCTCTCTGTAATGATCTAAACCTTAAAGACAAAGATTAACTGATTGAAAAGAGTTGGAAAAATTTTGTAATCAATTTGCTTATAATATTGATATTTCAAGAGATAAATCTTCAAATAAAAGAAAAATTTATTATAAACCATAGAAGAAAAGAAGAAAATTCCATAAAGGGAATTATGAAAAAGAAAAAATTAATATTAGAAGAAAATGTTAAAAATAATTTTAAAGATATTAAATTCAGAAAGTGATGAAGGGGAATCTTCTTCAGAATCATTTTTTGAGGTGAAATTATGTAATATTAATGAAATAAATAACAATTCATCATTTGATGAAGATCAATTAGAACAAGATAAAGCTTGTTCGTCACACTTCCAAACACAAACTAATTATTATAAAACTATTTTAGTCATGAATGAATTAAGCACAAACACTTTAACAAAATAACAAACATTAATTCTTAATCTTATAGGTCAAATTCAAGATCCAGTACCTAAAAAAAGCTATTGAACAATATTTGAAAATAACTTCAGAAGAAAAGAAACCTATTTGTTTCAATCATATTCGTTAAAAGAGGTTCTTAATAGATCCAAAACTATGATAAATACAAAAAAAAAAGCTTTGTTGCAAGACTTTATAGGAGAAGTGAATTAACGTAAAGTTGAAATAAAAACAATAAAATAAAGACTTTTGACACTAGAGAAAATGACAATAAAGGATGAAAAAGATACAAAAAGAGTTAAACTCTTATAATGAATATTTAAATGTATTAGAAAAGATAACTTTTCAAAAATGGTATGTGCTTGGCAGTGTGATAAATAAGGAATTACAAAGTTGAAATAAATTTTTTTACAAGTATAATCTTAACATACCATTTTTGAAAAGTTATTTTTTTGATGCGTTTAAGTATTAATTAGAAGAGTTTAACTCTTTTATATCTTCTTCATCCTTTATTGACATCTTCTCTAGTGCCAAAAGTCTTTGTTTTATTGTCTTTATTTCAACTTTAAGTTGATTCACTTTTCCTTTAAGGTCTAACAACGAAGTTTCTTTTTCTGTATTTATCATAGTTTCGGATCTATTAAGAACCTCTTTTAAAGAATATGGTTGAGACAAAGTATGTTTCTTTTCTTTTGGAGTTATTTTCAAATATTGCTCAATAGCTTTTTTTTTAGATACTGGATCTTGAACTTGATCTAAAAGATTGATAATTAATGTTTGTGATTTCGTTAAAGTGTTTATGCTTAATCCATTCATGTCTAAAATAGCTTTATAATAATTAGTTTGTGATTTCGTTAAAGTGTTTTGATTGATCTTCATGAGATGATGAATTGCTATTTATTTCATTAATATTACATAATTCTATTTCTACCTCAAAAAATGATTCTGAAGAAAATTATGTTTCATCACTTTCTGAATTTAAAACTATCTTCTTCTAATATTAATACATTTATTTTTTGTTTTGTTAGACGTTTAGAAGCATTATGTCCTAAATTTTCACATTTAGTAGGCTTTTTATCCTTTGCTTTAAGTTTTTTAGTGAGTTTATTAATTTTTTCTTTTTCATAATTCCTTTTATGGAATTCTCTTGAGTGATTTAATTGATCCATAGTGGGTTGAGCATAGAAAGTTAAAAACCATTTAACAAAAGGAATTATCTTTATATCTTTTAATATCTTCTTGGTTCATAGTTTTAAAATACGAAAATTTTCATATTTAGGAAGATAAAATTATTTTTTTATTTATTTCTTATTTACTATAAATTCTTTTCGGTTCAAATCCATATATATATATGTGGGAAGTAAATTTTGAATCCTGTGTTTTATTCAGTAATGGTTTTTATTTTTTGAAACTGAGATGACTTGCTGTTTTATTTCAACATATTCGTACTATTGTCTATAGGTTAGGGGTATAAAAATACACATGCAATCACCAGTAGACTTTTGAATTGTTTTGCGGATTTTTCCCTCAGTATATTCTATGGAGAGGGACGCCATATGTCCTATCGCAGTAATAAGTTTCATCTTACTTGTTTTTCCTCCATTTTGATGTTTTTACTTGTTTTTCTGTACTGAGGAAATGTTGTTTTCTTCAGCTTCTTTCAGTGAAGATTATTCGTAACAAGCAAACTTATGAAACAGAGGGATATGGATTCCTAGAGTTCAGAACTCGAGCAGCAGCAGAAACCGCATTACAGACATACAATGGCTCGGTGATGCCTAATGCTCAACAGAATTTCAGGCTGAACTGGGCCACTCTTGGTGCTGGTGAGAGGCGTACAGATGACACTCCTGGCTATACAGTATTTGTTGGAGATTTGTCAGCTGATGTCACAGATTATGTGCTACAAGAAACCTTTAAATCTGTTTATTCATCGGTGAAGGGTGCAAAAGTTGTCATAGACAGGACCACTGGACGCTCCAAGGGTTATGGGTTTGTTAGGTTTGGGGATGAGAGTGAACAAATGCGTGCCATGACTGAAATGAATGGGGTATTCTGTTCAACTAGGCCTATGCGAGTTGGGCCTGCTGCCACCAAAAAATCTGTGAGTGGTCAGCAATATCAGAAAGGTATGTATTGCAAACGTTTTTATGGCATTCTTGTGAGCCTTAATGTTGTTTATGAAAAACAAATGTAAAGTTCTAGTATTTGTTAGTTTTCTTGAGCTCTTTCCATGGTTGTTTAGCATTGCTTGAAGCAAGAAGTAGTCTTGTTGATAATCTTCTTTGCTAATGTTTATGTTTTTATGAGATTTGAATGCCTTTACAGTTATCCACTTGAAGATACGCGGAATTTACAAAGTCATTTCCTTCCTGTACTTATCTTTGTAAACTTGGGCACATTAATTCTGTTAAAACTTGAAAAAACTTATCACTCGTGTTGTCTCAAAGCAGGAGAAACAGAGGGGCTCTCATTTTGGGGGGCCTGGAACTGATTTCAGCTGAAATGATTCCACTTTAGTGCGTGACCTCCTTTTAGGTCAGTTATTTTGTTTACGTCGTAAGCTTCCTTAGTTCATTTTCTTGTGGCATTTGTTATGCTACATTCAATTAGTTTCAGTCAAGTTAATTTTTTTTACTTTCTCCAGAGTTTACAATTCCTTTTCCTTTGCTTTTCCGGTGTAAATCCTCCACGAACCCTTATTTATTTAATCATGGTTTAAATTCCTTTGCTGTATGGTTTGAGACAATCTTTTCATTTCTCTGCGTCATGTGTCTATGTCTCAAATTGCGAGTTTACAGCTTTACACAAAATGCTGGAAAGTTAATTCTCGCATGTTGCCTTCACCTCTCTTTTACACATTTTCTAGAAAATTATTGCATTCTTTCCTTTCCACGTACCTTCCTTTTTTTTCTCAATTAGTATTCCTTTGTAAGAGGATGTATCCACTTGGGAGGAAATGCTTTTGGTTGTGATGTTTCTTTTGTAAATTTTCTGGGATATTTCTCTTTGGCGCTTATTTTTCCTATTTCTTTTGTATACAATGTGCTTACATGGGTTGAACGGGCTGAACCCTTTTTTTGTGTGTGCCTTATAATAAAAGCTTTACTCTTTCGAAGAATGTATATGGCTGTGATGCTATAACTTTCTACTCCGAGATTTGCATTGCAGCACATTAACTTCAATCATGTAGCTGAGTATTTTAATTTTTTTTAGGTTTTTCTAATCTCTATGAGAAAACTTGGGGTGAATTTGGTTCATTTGTATAGATATGGTGTGCACATCTATTGGCTAGTTTTTCTTGTCCTGTACATTGGCCATTTTGTATGTACATCTTTAGGAAAAACAAACTCACCAGTGGATTCCCAAGCTAAAAGTCCTATGACACATGAGCGTGAGTTCTAGGATTGTACATACCAACTAATTCTTGAAGTTCCTTTATATCCACAATCTGAGGTTTCATATAGGTTTTGCTGGAGCTAGTTTCTCATTTTGAGTGTATCAGGAAAAATGTTGGATTTGGATTTTGTTGTCCTTTTCTCACATTATAACATTGTGGGTTATGGTTAAGCACCAAGATGGGTGCTTTGGAAGTATCATGTATGTTGCTGTATTTAAATGCATGGAATGATATTTAATACTTCTACACTAAGTTTTAAATGAAAAATTAACAAAAACTGAGGGGAAATTTTGTTTGAATGGCCAAGAAACATATAGATAAACACATTTAGTCCATTTATTTGCAAAGGGAAAAATACCAAAAAAAATTAAATGAGGAGCAAGAAATTTTTTTAATTAATGCATGCTATTTCACGGATAGATACAAGGAAATGTGCTTTTTGATTAAGATAGTACTGATGTGTCCGTGCCTCTTTACAGTAGCAAGGTCAGTATAGTCTTGTTGATTGAGAGCAGGAACATAAGGTGAGCAACTCTTTTCATTTTTAGCTGACTGACTAGGAACAGTGTTTCATGATGTAATATGTATAGGAGCTTTCCAGATTAAACAAACATTTATTGTACGTTCTGTTGGCCACTTGACTGCGTGCTTTACTTTTCTGGGAGAAATGAAGGAGAGTCCAGAGGTATTGTTTTCTAGCATCTTTTCAAGCATATATTGCTAAGACTATGTGCTTTTTTATGCTTCATGGAAAGGTAAGGTAAGATACGGTTATGGATAATTGATAGGTTGGTGTTGTGAACTATTGTTGTATAGAGTTTTTATAACCATGGATGTAACCAGTCTTGCTATACACAACTGCTCTGCTTGTTAGACACAACAGTGCTTAATTGTATTCTTGGTGTGATGGGAAAGTTTTGATATTCAAGGAACAATACCAAACTAATGCATTGGTGGTGTCAATCGATTAAGTTTTCTAGGGAATAAATACGTGTAATTTTTTAGTTTGATATGAATGGATTGACCAACATTGCAATTATGGCTTTTATGTAATGTTTTTCCTGTTCTTGCTGTGATCTTTTTTCCTGTTTCTTTTACCATGGAAAATTGGAA